TGTGGGCCGTTATCAAAAACTAGAACCCCCTGGATGCCATACCTGCAACAGACGTTAGTAAACAAGACTTTGATGACCTTCTCCTTAGTGATTTTGGCCATTGACTCAGCCTCCACCCATTTACTAAAGTAATCCACCAAAACCAATAAAAACTTTCTTTGGCCAGACCCTTGTGGAAAAGGCCCTACTATATCCATCCCCCATTGAGCAAACGGCAGGGGTGAGCTCATGGGCGTTAACTCCTCCGCTGGTACATGGACGAGTTGCCCATGCTGTTGACATTTCAAGCATTTCTGGACCAACTCTCTCGCCATGGCTCTCATGGTTGGCCAAAAGTAACCCACTCTTAGCGCCTTCCCCCCCAAGGCCCGAGCCTTAATGTGATCTCCACAGCAACCCTCATGTATCTCCCTGAGCACGTAATATTCTTCTTCCCCTGAGACACACTGCAGATGCGGCCCCGAATATGATCTCTTGAACAAAACTCCCTGTTGGCAGAAAAATCTCAAGGCCCTTCGACCCAATTTGTCAGCCCGAATATCTCATTGTCCCAACGCTGCTTGCGTCAGCCAATACCGTATGGGACTCCTCCAATCTTCCTTTACCTCTAGTTCCATAACCCCTTCCAAAATGCTAGACCCCATTTGCAACAGAGTTACTGAGCGTGACTTGCGATTCACTAGTGAGGCCGCTACTTTAGACAACAAATCAGCACGCCCATTACTCTCCCTTGGTATCTACACAAGCTCCCAAAACTCAAAACCCTTAGCTAACGCTCGTGCTTCCTCCGCATATTTCAGCATCCTATCTTCTTTAGCGTCGTATTCACCATTCATCTGCTCCACCACCAATTGAGAATTTGAGTGAACAACAACTTTCATGGCTCCTGCACCTGCCACCAACTGCATGCCCTTTAACAACGCTTCATACTCGACCTCGTTGTTTGAGGCTCTAAAAGTGAGATTTACGGCAAACTCCATCGGTTCTCCCCCTGGTGGCAAGATTAGGACCCCAATACCAGCTCCTATTTTAGTTGAAGAGCCATCCACAAAAACCTCCCAAACTCCCGGATCATTCTCCATTGTGCCCTCCTGAATAAAATCCGCTAATGCTTGGGCCTTAATTGCCCTCCTTGTCTCAAAACTAACATTGTATTTCCCCAGCTCGACCGCCCACTTCACCATCCTGCCCGAAGCTGACGGTCTGCCCAACGTCTCCTTCAAAGGGAAGTTTGTTCATACCAAAACCAAATGCGATAAGAAATAAAGTCGCAACTTCCTCGCCGTAGTAATAAGGGCTAATTCCGCTTTCTCCACCTCTGCATATTTCATCTCCGCCCCTTGCAACAACCGGCTAACGTAGTAAATAGGCTGCTGACCACCCCCTTTCTCCTTCAACAGGACCGAACTTATGGCCACCTTGCCCACATAAAGATACAAAATCAGCACATCCGTTGGATCTGGTTTGGTGAGAAAGGGTAACTCTGCCAGGAACTGCTTGAGTCTGGTAAAGGCTTCCTGCATGATTAGTCGAGAAACGTGCT